CCAGCTGTGCTTTTCCACCTTCCTCTTCCTTCCTCCCTCCTCAGTGAGTGGCAGCAGCTGCTCCCCTTCCCCTCCCTATATCTCAGTCAGCCCGGGGGGAAGGGGGAATGAGCAGATGTCCCTTGACTGGCCACAAGGAGAAGGAGGTGCCACCATTGTCCCAGCCCCAAAGGCCTGGCTTGCCTCCCCACAGCTCTGGCTATGATGAGGGAGTCTGTCATGGAGGCACCTGGTTGCGCCTCCTCAGAATTTTGCACCTGGGGCCATGGCCCCCCTGCCCCCCTATGCTACACCAATGGGAGAAGGTGGTGACTGGGAGCAGCCACCGAGACCACATAACACCAGTCTTGAAAGACCTACATTGGCGTCCAACGTTTCCGAGCACAATTCAAAGTGTTGGTGCTGACCTTTAAAGCCCTAAACCGCCTCAGCCCAGTAGATCTGAAGGAGCGTCTCCACCCCCATCATTCTACCCGGACACTGAGATCCAGCGCCAAGGGCCTTCTGGCGGTTCCCTCGCTGCGAGAAGCCAGGTTACAGGGAACCAGGCAGAGGGCCTTCTCGGTAGTGGCACCTGCCCTGTGGAACGCCCTCCCACCAGATGTCAAAGAGAAAAACAACTATCTGACTTTTAGAAGACATCTGAAGGGCCACTACCGAAAAGGCCCTCTGCCTGGTTCCCTGTAGCTTTGCTTCTTGCAGTGAGGGAACCGCCAGAAGGCCCTCGGTGTTGGACCTCAGTGTCCGAGCTGAACGATGGGGGTGGAGACGCTCCTTCAGGTATACTGGGCCGAGGCTGTTTACTCTCATTTTCCTACTCACATTGAAATACTGCCCCTCAATTACGCCAAACTTAGATTCACAAAATGTTTAGGGGTATGCGTACCCCTGCATCCCCCCAGAAAAAAAGCACAGTTTCTAGAGAAAATATAGGTGCTGGAATTCACCATGAACGCCTCCCTTGTTTTCTTATACTGTGGTACCTCGGGTTACAAACTTAATTCGATCCGGAGGTCCGTTCTTAACCCGAAACCACTCTTAACCTGAGGCGCGCTTTTGCTAATGGGGCCTCCCGCTGCCGCCGCGCTGTCGGTACGCAATTTCCGTTCTCATCCTGGGGCAAAGTTTGTAACCCGAGGTACTACTTCTGGGTTAGCGGAGTTTGTAACCTGGAGTGATTGTAACCCGAGGTGTTTGTAAACTGAGGTACCACTGTAATGGTAATAGCACCCACCTGAGAGGTACAGAAATTGAATTCCAGCAAGTTCGGGCTGAAAAAAATCCCTGGGTGTTTGCATCTTTTACATGTAAAAGAACTGTTCTGGAAAGTATGTGTCTTTATGACGAATAGGCATTCCTAATCATGATATGTTTATAGCTCCAGCATATGTGCAGTCATTTAAAAAAGATGCTCCACACAATAATTATTATTTAGCTTGACAGAAAATATTTTTGAATTAGAACACCTGAATGACTGAGCAGGAGGGGAAGCACCTTTTCAGGTCATGTTGCTCTATGCCCTTCTTCTTTAGGCCATGCAAACAGCAAATGGTATTTGCCTTTCTGAAGAACAAAATGTTGAACACGCAGAACGGAATGCTGCCTGTTTAGCAAGGAAGGTGTTGAGCAGCGATGGGGAACTTGTGGCCCTCCAGATATTTTTGGACTTCAAATCCCATCAGCCAGGATGGCCAGCAGTCAGGGTTGATGAGAATTGTTGTCCAGCAATATCCAGAGAGCCACAATTCTCCTCATCTGTGGTGTTAAGGATGGCAAAGCTCATTAGTCAAAAGACCACAGACTTGTAGAGATGGAAGGGACCACAAAGGCCATTTAGGCCAAGATGATGGCCACTGAAGCACAGGCTGTGTGCACCTCATAACACACACCCCTCACCCGGCATCAAGGGAATTGTAGTTTACCATTCACGTAGCTACAGTTCCCAGCACTTGAATAAGAATAAGAATAAGAATAAGAATATTTTATTATTTATACCCCACCCATCTGGCTGGGTTTCCCCAATCACTCTGGGTGGCTCTGAACAGAATATTAAAAACTTGATAAAACATCAAACATTAAAAACTTCCCTAAAGAGGGCTGCCTTCAATGTCATCTAAAAGTCAGATAGTTGTTATTTCCTTGAGATCTGATGAGAGGGCGTTCCACAGGGCAGGCGCCACCACTGAGAAGGCCCTCTGCCTGGTTCCCTGTAACCTCATTTCTTGCAGTGAGGGAACCACCAGAAGGCCCTTGGTGCTGGACCTCAGTGTCCGGGGTGAACGATGGGGGTGGAGACGCTCCTTCAGGTATACTGGGCCGAGGTCATTTAGGGCTTTAAAGGTCAGCACCAACCCTTTGAATTGTGCTCAGAAATGTACTGGGAGCCAATGTAGGTCTTTTAGGACTGGCATTATATGGTCTTGGCAGCCACTCCTAGTCACCAGTCTAGCTGCTGCATTCTGGATTAATTTTAGTTTCTGAGTCACCTTCAAAAGTAGCCCCACGTAGGACACATTGTAGTAGTCCAAGCGGGAGATAACCAGAGCATGCAAGACCCCTCTGGCAAGACTGTCTGTGGGCAGATAGGGTCTCAGCCTGCGTACCAGACGGAGCTGGTAGACAGCTGTCCTGGACACAGAATTGACCTGCGCCTCCATGGACGACACAGTTCCCAGGAATCTTTGAGGGAGGGTGTGAATGTGCTTGAAGTCTATAGTGCATGCAGCCACTTTTCAATGTGCTTAAGGCCATCAAAAACACAGAATTCAGATTCCTGTAACTGCATTGGGCCGTGACCACTGTTGTTAATATCTTCACTGCTGGTCTGCTTGTGAGACATTGGAAGTCATAATATTATTATGTAAAAAAGACTGAAAAGATACAGAATGCTGAATAGATCAGTCCTTTGGTAAACCAAACCCAGCAAAGATTTTGTGTACATTCCTAATGCAGCTGCTGTAAACTGTGTGAGAGACTTTTGATGAGAAAACCACCCAAGGCCAGTACAACAGTTTATGGAATCTAGTTTTACTCCACAATGACCAGTGTTTATTTACAGTGTGTGCCTGCTGTGAAGATGGGTGTTTACTTCATGCTGCTGATTTGGTTGGGGAAACAAGGCCTTATTTAAAGAACAGTAATTAAAATGAAGAGGTTTTTTTAAAAGAGAAAAAGAAAAACATAAGCAGCTACAGAAGCTAATCAATTTTCATTCTGAACAGAGCCAGATTCTGTCAGTTTGAGCTAATATGACCCCCTCACACACCATAGAAATTCACACCAATGACTTGAAATTTATGACTCTGTATTATAGTGGGGTTTGTCCAGGGCTTGTCTCTACTCCAGATCATTGCAGCTAGTGCAGAGCTAGTTTGCAGGGTGTGCACAGCCTCTGTGTCTAACCATCTGTCAGAATCTGAATTGGATTTGAATTCCCTGTTTGTCTGGCAATAGCCAATCTCATGCCAAAAGGCTGGCTGAAACACACACACACACACACACACACACACACACACACGTATGGTTTCTCCTGACCTCACCTGCATGGAGACATGCAAAATCAGGCATTTCTGCTGGACCGAAACAGCTCAGTTGCATGAGCTCATGCTTCATATTTGTCCAACTCAATAAAGAGCAATAACAAAATGAGGAAGAAATAGGCTTGCCTGATATGTTAATATCTTTTGCGACATGAGGATTACACAGAGGGGCAGCCAAAAGGCAATGGAAGAAACTAGTAGAAATGTTGCCAAGTTTATACTTCCTTAGCTTGAAATATAAAAGTAAAGGGACCCCTGACCGTTAAGTCTAGTTGCGGACGACTCTGGGGTTGCAGCGCTCATCTCGCTTTACTGGCCAAGGGAGCCGGCGTTTGTCCGCAGACAGCTTCCGGGTCATGTGGCCAGCATGACTGAGCCACTTCTGGAGAACCAGAGCAGTGCACGGAAATGCCGTTTACCTTCCCGCCGGAGTGGTACCTATTTTCTACTTGCACTTTGATGTGTTTTGAACTGCTAGGTCGGCAGGAGCTGGGACCGAACAACGGGAGCTCACCCCGTCGTGGGGATTCAAACCGCCGACCTTCTGAATGGCAAGGCCTAGGCTCTGTTTTCAGACAATGGTAGGGCAACTGCTATGCATGCAGTAGGTCCTAATTTCAATCCTGGGCGCCTCCAGTTTAAAGAATCAGGTAGAGGTAATGGGAAAGGTCTCTGCCCAAGACCCCAAAGAATCACTGCTAGTCATAACAATGGTAACTAGATGGACAAAAGTCTGACCTAGTATAAGACAGCTGCTTATGCAGCCCTTCATATACCTGACCTCTTGCCAAGCAGAGAAGTGGAGAGAGAAAGAGAAAGAGAGAAAGAGGGAGAGAGAGAGAGAGAGAATGTCCTCTCCTGCTGCCACCAGTAGATAGGAGAATGGAAGAGTAGGCATTGAGCTGGGTGGGTGGTTGAAAGAGAAGGAAACTCATGGGTCCATGAGTAGAGATAGGGTGGGCAAGGTAGGCGAGTGAGTATGTGGTGGCGGGGAGGAAGCACGAACTGCCTCTGGCTCACTCCACAAGTTGCCCAGTTTTTCTGGGGCTTCGGCGCATTCTCAGAACATAAAAGTGTGGTCAAAAGCCACAGCACTTGGGGAATTTCATCCATCACTACCGAATACCAGCTTTAGTCAGGACTTCAAAAAGATCCTCATATGTCATGATCTCAAAGCAAGGGCAAACCTTTACTTAATACATTCTTCTTTGGGTAAACTTCCATAGCAATGACTTTTTATTTTACTCTCATTTCACTTCCTTATTTATGGGAAGTTTTTTATTTATTTAACCCTAAAGCAGAAATAGGGAATGGACTATAATTTCTATCATCCTTTCCCAGTGACCAAGCTGGCTGAGCATTTGGAATCCACCCCCTAGATTATAGCATCCTGGAATTATATATGAAAATACCATAATCCTAATGGATCTCTATTCCCATAGATACTCTAAATATCTTGGTCCTCTTCAAGGTCAAAGAGTATGGTCAACCCTCAAAGAAGTCTTCTCTTTTCTTGATGGTGATGGTGATGGTTAGGAAGCACAACATCACGATCATTCTGATAGCTGAGGGCCGAAGAAGAATATGTGAGGATGGGTATCATATCACCTCTTAAATGTCTTCTACAGATTAATATGTTCATCTCCTTCAACCTTTCCTCATATTCTCCAGTCCTCCACATCTTCTTTTCCCTCTTCTGGACCCTTTCCAGATGGTCAGCATCCTTATTGATACTGCAGTGTCCAAACCTGGACACAGAACTGGCCAATATACAGGGTAAGTATGATTTCTTCCTCATCAGGAATTACCGTAGTGTTGCCTGCAAATAAAAACATTCTATTGTAGCTTTAATGGATGGTTAAAACAATGATCTGAAATGGGATGGCTATAGATCCGTTCTTAGATCTATCTTTTCTTAGCTTGTCAGAATGGGAAAATAATGGCAGCCAAGGCATTATTTTGAGGGCATCTGTAGCATCTCCTTCTGCTCCCTGTCAAAGAAAAGATGCAGGATAAATGGATGACACATAAAATTGTTAAGGCAATTTATATTCAGTGTGAAACAGTGCCTTACTTTCTTCTTTTGTTCATGAAGAGTCCTTTTATAGTTAATTCAATCAACTTTTTAAAATGTGGTTCCATTCTCCCTGATTCAGCAGTGTTCTGAATGTTCTGAGGATTCTCTTGACACAACTATTCATTTACAAGGACTTCCCTAATCATTTCATGGATGGCCCATCTCCACACATGCAAATAGCCTGGTTCCTGGAAAGCATCCCAGAGTAATAATGTGAATAATGTGTTTCAATTATAATAATGGTCACTGATGTATACTGACTTTCTTATTGATTTCTGACATCTGTATTGATCCCTTTACACAGTTATGGAGTATGGCTCAACTTCAAGATTTATATTGTATTCTTGGTGGGTTCTAGCAGTCTAAAGAAGTGCAACACTGGCATTATTTATTTTATTCCATGAAAAGATGGATTTCGGGAGCAGGGGTGGGTATTTTAAAGTTCCAGCGTTGGATCTGCTTCATGCATGGAAATGAATGAAAAAGACTATTTTCCCTGAGCCAATATAAGAGAGTCTCTAGATCTGGAAGAATGACTTTTGGGGTATATATTTTTTATAAGAAAACAAGGAACAGGACTCTTGAGAGATGAGTGGGAAGGATATACCAGATGCACGGAGTCTGCCTGTCCCATAACTTGCCCAGACATCATTTAAAGGTCTTTGATCACACTGACATTGCTTTCAGTCATAACTAGACATGTGACTCATTATTGTGTAACTGTTCATTCACTGTTCGTTGGAACTTCTGTTGATCCTGTTCCATAGACATTCATTTTTATAACTTCTTGGCCGTTCCATACCTGTTTACTGAGGCTTCTGGGAATGCCGTAAAGTAATTGGTTTCATATTCTGTAGCTGGTGTGTCATTTTGCAGTGGATACAAATGCTTCTCCTGTAATATCTTCTTTGCTTATGGTGCTTAACTAATCTTCTTCAAGTATCAAATTGTCCTCAGGTGTATTCTCTGTATCCACACTAGATGTGTGTCTGTGATCTTCAGGCTGAAGCACTTTGTTCTTCTTACACCCAAAGGAGAACCTACCCTGAAAAATTAATGGTTAATTTACTCACACAAGTAATTAACTGCTTTGGTAATAAATAAATGTCCTTCCATTTCCCTTCCTGCTTCCCCTGCCCTGTGAAACTCATAGATGCTTCTGCAGCCTTAGCCATGTCTACTCTGAAGTGAGTCCTACTGAGTTCACTAGGACTTACTCCCAGGTAGGTAGGCTTAGAATCACAGCCTTATAAAAATGAAGGGAGACTTGATATAAGAAAAACCTAGATGCATGGAACAGCAGGCATTGATTCAATGCTGAAACGAATGATCACCTCAAGGGGCTCCTGATGTCTGGAGATATTTGTTGCCAGCACCAGCAGGGATATAAACCTAGGCAGAGACTTGGAGGACTGTTTGACTTTTTAATGTAACATGCAATCTTATGAGTTTAATAGGACTTACTCCTAAATATATTGCAGCAGTTTTGGTCAGGCTATACATTCCTCATGGGGGAACTCCAAGAAGGGAAAATTGTGCTGTGTTAGGATTGTTGTTAGGGACGCAGGTGGCGCTGTGGGTTAAACCACAGAGCCTAGGACTTGCCGATCAGAAGGTTGGCAGTTTGAATCCCCACGATGGGGTGAGCTCCCGTTGCTCAGTCCCTGCTCCTGCCAACCTAGCAGTTCAAAAGCACATCAAAGTGCAAGTAGATAAATAGGTACCACTCCGGCGGGAAGGTAAACGGCGTTTCCGTGCGCTGCTCTGGTTCGCCAGAAGCGGCTTAGTCATGCTGGCCACATGATCCGGAAGCTGTACGCCGGCTCCCTCGGCCAATAAAGTGAGATGAGTGCCGCAACCCCAGAGTCGGCCACGACTGGACCTAATGGTCAGGGGTCCCTTTACCTTTAGGGTTGTTGTTGCTGAACGCTGTTGTATCCCAGCAGTGGCGTAGCATAGAGGGTGGGGGGGCTACAGGGATGGTTGCCCCAGGCGCAAAATTTCAATACCCAGTGCTACCTCAATACAGCTGCACACTTTGGTCTGGGGTTCTGTTGAAAACAGCTTCCTCATGAGACCCAGGAAGTGACCTCTTCAGACAACTTCTTTTCTGATCTCTGCACCTGCGATCTCCTGGATGCCATTAGGCAGTTTAATGTGCATGCATACTCTGTCCATTTCGCTCCTTCCCACCACCAGCCCCACAAGGCTCCGCCACTGTCTCCCAGTTTTATACATACACCATGCCAGGCTACAAAATATACCACCTTTAGTAACCAGCAGGAAAATATTGAGGAAGTTCTTTCCCTTCCCCCAATCTCCCTTTCTCTGTTCTCCTCCTGCTTATCACTGCGGGTATAAGTAATAAACCATTGCATTGCTCATTTCTTGATTAACTGGTAGTCTAGGAGGAAAAGTACTTATAGAAAAAACTTGCTCCTTTTTCCGTTATGGGGTATCCAAGAGTGCATATAGAGTCCTTAAGTAGGTTCCCTATTTCTCCTATTGATAGGAGAAAATAACAGAGGCCAACCAGAGAATATTGAGAAGCAAAGCAGCTAGTAAGCCTGATCTTTATTAAACTGTTGCACCAGGGTACTCACTCACCACATGAGGATGGGTGGAGGAACCCAGAACAATGGTGCGCAAGCCCTTATATAGACTTTTGAAATTGCCCACCCTGTAGCTCAAGACCACCACCAAAACATCATACATACATCATAGAAGGAGGCGGGTCTACAGCAGAAATCCTGTTTGCCAGGATACTTGATAATGGTCACTGATTGCTTTACCTGGGCAGCCTGGCCATTCTTTTGTGATGGTAAATGCTTTAGTTCCTGAATCCAGGTCACAGGCTCACCCTATTCATACAGAAATACGCCCTTAAGACAGGATTTGTAAGAAAAGAGACAGTGGGAAGGCTTTCCCCATTTTCCTCCCTACTGCAGAGGAATATTTGAGATCCCCTGGAGAGTCAAAATGGTTTCAGGATTGTTCTCCTGTACTATTTCAGACACATGGTTTAAATACTTATGTATGTGTTTGCCTTGTAAATTTATGAAAATTTATTTTATATATTTGAGACCTTAAATCCTTATAACAGTACTGAGTACCTGTAATCACCTAGTCCTCCTACTCCTGATAATTACTTTGGCAGGCAACATGTATAACTTAAACGGCGTTTCCGTGCGCTGCTCTGGTTCGCCAGAAGCGGCTCAGTCATGCTGGCCACATGACCCGGAAGCTGTACGCCGGCTCCCTCGGCCAATAAAGCGAGATGAGCACCGCAACCCCAGAGTCGGTCATGACTGGACCTAATGGTCAGGGGTCCCTTTACCTTTACCTATACACTGATAGACCTCTCCCCCATTTTCTTAAATCGGAGTCCTCCCAAATAGGGGGTGTCTTATACATGGGGGCATCTTATAGATGGAAAAATATGGTATTTCAGGGGCCATGACCAAATTTCAAGCAGTTGGTGTGGAGGGAGGGGGAAAGGTTTCTGTCTCCCTCCAGCTATCTTCTCTCTGCACTCTACACAGGCACAGGAACTCTGCCAATAGTGAATGCTGATTGACAGGAGACCTCTGCAATACAATGCATGGCACATCACACAAACTCATTTGAATGAGAATTCAGTGTTGAGTTGTAGTGTCCAAGGACAAACAGCTTAAATAAATAAAGATCTGTGCAAAGCTCCACAAGCCCCATCTCTCTCCTTTCTATCTGTCCCAAACAGTCCTAGAAATGCAGCCTGGAAGTTAAAAGAGCAGGAATGTAGGAAGAAACGAGCAAAGAAAGAAAGAAACTCAAAAGCGTGGGTACACACACACACACACACACACACACACACACCATGTCCTGGAGCTATGGTGATAAAATAAGAGATATACAAGGCAGAAGACAGATAAGAAACACAACAATGAAGATAGAATAGATTGGCTAATGGTTCCATCAACACCCCACTGAGAAGTTCAAAGGAAAGGTATAGACATTTCAGCAGTACTTCAGTTCAGATGTCAGGAAGAAGGAAGAAAAAAGCCACAAAAGCAAAACAAGCCAACCTACGGAAAGCAGGAAGTTTTTGTGAAAACAGTAATGGAATTTTAGGGGTCTCTTTGTTTTTGTTTTAAGCAAACCAAGGTACAACAAAATCCCATGATCACTTCAGTAAACAGTGACAGGGATGAACTGTGAAAGGTTTTGGTACCAAGTTTAAAAATAGAAAAATTTCAGCATCATGACTAATCATCACCATTCTGCATCAATATACACATCTTGTCAGCTGTACTATTTTATTGGCAACACTTTTAAAATGCTTTCTGCTGCCTCCACCCCACCTTTTACAGGATGTATGCTTCTGGTCTGGGGTGCCAACTTGAATAAGATATTTTGGAGGCCCAGGTAAGTCCCACCCTGCATAATTGATCACATGGTGCAGTGTGCACACACTATTTGAATGGGAATGCCCATCAACATTGTGGAGGCCCAGCCACCTCGAATATTTTGTGCTCCTATGCTTCTGGTGGTTGGTTGGTTGTTGGCGTCTGTCAGCTTTCAGGAGTAACCCCCCCCCCAGGAAATAATTCATACCCACTGCCTTGCAGGACATCTTTGGGGGAAGAAAAGGCTTAGGAGTAAGCTCTACACAAATATGGAGTGGAGTCCCTAAGACTATTGGATGGTGTCTTGTATGCCTTCTTCTGGCAACTCCTGCAGCAAAGCTGGTGTGCTTCAGTGCTGCACAGCTTAAGCAGGAGAGGGGTCATTCAGCAATGTGATATTACTTTAAAAAAGATTCTTATTTATCATGCAGCTGCTTGGGACCATACTGTTGCAGTTGGAATGGACAGCAGTGTGGCTTCCCTCTCTCCAACTCTAGCATGGTTAAGTTTCTTGCTTTATTGTAATGCTGTCCTGTTTTCTCCTTGTGATAGGAATGCACATTGCTGAAAGAAAGAAAGAAAGAAAGAAAGAAAAAACATTTGGGGCACAGATTGCTTGGTTGTCTGGGGAATCCCCATCACTTTGCTTGCTAACTGTTGAGTTGTCTGTTTCAACAGCATTCTCGATACATTTACTTTAGACACTTTGGTGGCAATTCACTTCCAATAAAGTCAATGGGAAATCCCCTGTTGATTCGAATATCTCTGGATTGCACCCATTACATTTAACATTTCATCTCATGCTGAGATTGTTCAATGTCAGCTTAAGTAGTTGTTTGAATTATATGAGGTTCATTTTGTTCGGAATACGAGGACACCTGTCCATAATTCAACCTGATTTTACCCTTGCTTTTCATTCCCAATAATAGAGCACCATTATATGTGAATTGCTCTTTTTTATCATCAGATTCTAGTCTCTCGCAGGGTGTACCTGTTAGTTACACAGGCAAAAAGCACAACAACCCCAGCTTCAATTCATGTTTGAATGCAGTCTAGGTTTCTATGTTTTGAAAGGTCTTGTTCACCAATCTAAGTTTACCTATTATTCTAAGCACAGTTGGTTGAAAGTAATATCTATTAACACCAGTAGGATTGACTTCCAAATAACTGATTGCTCCCCTAGAAGGCTGACAAACCCCATAGACCCTAACCATTTGTTATGCTGCCTGGGACGGATAGGACCTGGAGTCCAGCAGTGTCTCAAAGGTCAAAAGTTTCCCATCCTTGGTATAAGTAGATTGTCTATTCCTTCCATCTGTTTCATCTCACCATTGCATAACATGACTAGGACTCCAACAGGATCATCACTGGAAAATCCCCCAGAGCATTCAGGAACATATCCATTTCCATCAGCCTCCAAGGATGGCCCATCAAAATGGGTCTGGCACCCTTACAGCGGGAACTGCCATCATCAGCCCAAACATAGCCAGATAATGGTCTAACCATGACAAGAAAGTGCATTGCATGCTGACAGTGTGTCCTGCCTGGTATGCTAGCCCAATGACCATCTGAGAGAAACTCATGGTTGTCACGGAGGCTATGCAGTTTCGAGCTAGCCTGACAGCAGCTTCCATGTGGATATTGATGTCACCCAGGATTATTGTTTTACGGTCCTCAAACAATACCACAGAGACTACCTTGGCCAGGCTGATCAGACATGCTGCTGGGCAGCAGGGTGGTTGGTAGACCAACAGCATCCCCTATCTATCTCTGTCATGGGTTGGGCAGAGGAGAAGGAGTGGTGGAGACCACCTCACCATCCTGACCCTTCTACGGAGGAGGAAGAAGAAGACAGTATAGATATACAACAGTGGTTTGTGGGAGGTCACAGCAGATGAGGGGGAACGTTAGGAAATCATGGGAGAGGAGGAGCAGGCAGAGTGGGAGCAGCAGTTGGCTGACACGTTGTCACTAGAAAGCATTCCAGACCCACCATCTCCAAGAACCTGGTGAGCCTTAAAAGTAGGAGAGGAAAGAGCTCAGAGACAGAGGGCACATGGCAGCACCCATAGAGGAGATGATGATGAAGAAGTGGGAGAGAAGGGGGGTGGAGATTCACTCAGGACAATGCCATTATCCAAGAGGCTGGGTTCTATGGCCTCTCTCTGTAAAGTTTGAAATAAAAAAGTACTGTAAGAAACTTTCCCCTGTCTTTATACTTTGCTGGGCAACCAGCCGAGAGCTGCTGGCAACACCCTGACAGTCTCTCTGGCCCAACACCACGTACAGGCCCTCTAAGCCCATCCCACATATATCAGAGATTTACCACACATGCAGACCACACTTATGCATTTGGAGGTACACAGAATGCATACCCCACACTCGTTACCACCACAGCACTGGGCTGAGAGAAGAATTAAAAACCTCTCCTCTCAACCTAGTGCTAAGATGGAGATTTCAAGTGGAAGACTGAAGTATTCAAATGTTGGTGAATTATTGTAGTATACAAGAGATTGATGAAGTTTGATTACTGGAGTAATCATTTACTAGCATGCTGCTTAGCAGATAGATAAATCCCCTTAAATGTACTTTAAGCATGTCCCCATTTTATTCTTTATTAGTAGATGTCTTATTTTCTTGAAAGTGACTAATGTAACATGTCATGTTGCCCATTTATTACATGTCAACCACTACTAATCTCATAGCTTAAAGACAGCAGAAAATTGTTTTGAAATCACTGACAATGGAGAACAGTTTACAATTTCATGCTCAGACTAATTAAATCAAGAGAGAGTCAACACAATAGAATATTTTAGTGCAAGTGCTCTTTTATGTTGCTATTAGCTCTTGTGTCTGTCTAAATGGGAACAAGGACCACATATGACTTACTATCAGTACTGATTGGTTTGCTTTTGGTGGGCAAGATGTCCTTGTTTGGTTTGGTTTTGAAAAAGCACTTCAATTTAGCCACTTTAGTTATTCATCCATTTTCCAAGCACTTATATCCTTTTATATTGGGATATCCAAAGTGGCAATACAAGTACACAATAACATGATTGTGCACAAATGCCAAATATTCTACTTCCAAAAACCCAGAACATCCAAAAGGTGTCAGAAATACAGATTGTGCATTCAGTGAAGTGGACTATAACCTCAGAAAGCTTGTATATAATATAATATAAGTATGGTCACATTTAAGGCATTACAGTACCTTTTGTTACACATGTTTTAGCACGTGAGAGGGATATGTTTATTAGAAGGTTGAGAAATGACTTATATTGGTATACAAACTGGGAAACTGTGACCCTCCAGATGTTCTTGGTCTTTGACATTCATTAGCTTCAGCCATTCCTGAATACCGATGTATTTAAAAATGGCACTGCATTCGTTTGGGTGCTTATAACTGTGTCCTTGCAATTGGGAACCATACCCTTTTTTTTCACTTTGTCAGTAGCAGTGGGATGGAGTAAAAAGGTAAAGGGCATTTAATGTCCCTTCCAGCTCCATGATTCTATGATTCCCCCCCCCCCCCAGCTCTGATCTAAGTTTCATCTGATCTAAGTTGGGAAATATTTTTTCTCGCCTGACAAGCTTGATCAGAGAGATGCTCGTTTGTCAATCTGACCAGATTCCTCTTCTCAAAAGAAAAGAATTTGTTGAAAGGGAATGTTAATGAATAGCTCTATTGAGATGGTTATCCTTTGGGAACAAGCGTGAATCATGTTTATAGTTAACGGCCAAGGAAAATTCTGTTTCATCATCAGATCGGTTCTTTACTGTATGCCACTGTGAAAAAGAAAACAACCAAGACTAAACATTTGGTGCCATTTCATCAGGTATGAATAAATGAAAGATTTCTAATGGCTTGTCAAAAATAGCCAGTACCAATTCATTTTCATCCCTTCCAACATTTGTTAAAGGGCAAAAATGTGTTTCTTTAATTCCCCCCGAAGTCTGCAGCGATCCCAAAAGAGCTCCAGATACTGTTTTATTTTAACCATCATGATGGTGGAGGGAAAACACAAAGTACCGTCTTTTTCTGTCTATAATACATCCCCTATTTTTGGGGACTCCTATTTAAGAAAATGGGGGAGATGTATCCATGTATACGACGCCCCCAAATATTTTGACATTATTTTTAAGGGAAAAAACCTAGTCTTATACATGGAAAAATATGGTATGTCTTACCTAACTGTAATCTGGCTGATACTTTGTCAACTGCAAGCGATACTTCAAATGGGATGTATAATGCAGACCTTCTTCCTTGTCCAATAGGCTCTCAGCATTGCAGGCTACTAACACTCTGCTAAATAAAATAGTTACTAGAGTGTTTCTCATTTGTATGCTTGTGGTTGTATTTAAAAGGTAGCAACTTTTGCTTAACAACGTTGCAAGCTTATTGACCTTTTAAATTCTGAAAATGATACACTGGGCAATAGATATTGGTCATAATATGGACATGGAAGCATGGTAACCATTGTGGAATATGGATATAAAATTTAAAGCATGTTATGGTCTAAGAGAAAATTATATGAAAATGATATATCAATGGTAATTATCGAGGAAATTGGCAAAAAGGTATAAATCTAAAACAAATAAGTGTTGGAAATGTAAAGAGAAAGAAGGTTCTTTTTATCACATGCGGTGGTCTTGTAGGAAGCTTACTGGGAAATGATATATAATGAATTGAAAATGACGTTTAAAATAATGTTTGTAAAAAAAAAAC